GGGGGGGACAAACGTGGACAAATGTGTTTCCTATTATCTGAGCATGAAGGAGCGTGTGGGGGTTGGTTTGTATGAAACACATCAACGACTGCAACGGGTACGATTGCCTTTATCAAAAAAAAGAAGAACTTCAAACCCCTTGACCTGAACGAACATCAGGCTTTTTTCACAGTGAAGCACCTGTTGAGACTTACAGATGGAGAAAGAAAGAAAGAGACAGATAGACCAAGTGAGACTTATAACTCCTTCTACCAGATTTTAATAAGAGAACTCCCCTCCCCCCAAAAAAGGATTAATTCATCTGGCTGACCTGCTGTTTTTAATAGAGGCTAACTATTTTATCTCTATAGCTGATATAACTTCTTGGCTTTGAGGTGTCCCTCTTGGATTTCTCGGGCTTTGGCACCATTACAGAAGTGTTACTCTCTTACATGCAAGAGAAGCTTTCAAATCCGCACATGGAAAGTTCTCAGAGGCGGCGTTGACTCATGGGATCGAACACCTGCCGGGGGCTCTCCAATCTGATCGACCTGCTCAAAGAAACGAAACAAAAGAAAAAAGTCGAGAAGATGAAATTTTAATACCGCATCTGATTCCCCCGACAGAGCAAATGACAGAGCAGAGAGAGAAATCACTTTAAGCTCCGGCTTGCGTCACTTCCTCTGCAACTTTTGAATTTTTTTTTTCCTCCTGTGGGCTCCGCTTCCCAGATACTTGTGCAGTGAACACATTCCTCTTTTGCAAATAGTTTTATTGTGTTTTTATAATAAGAGAAAAATGTTTCCCCGAGTACCTGATTTCACATAAATCTGTGCTTACATCAGAAACGCAGAGAAAAAAGAAGACAGAATAAATCAACTTTAAGCTCTCTGAATGTTCCCCTGCTTTCTTTCTGACAGTGACAAAACGTCTGACATTTTCACTCAGCAGGGAGAAACAGAATTTAAACGTAGAAAAACAACAGCTTAAACACAAAACGATGTCTCTCGGTGCATTCTTTTGCCGAATTCCAGCTTGTGAACAACCACTTGCGATTGGTCAAAGCAAGAGTGGCGTGCCTGGCAACCATTGTGCCATTGGCTAAAAGTCCGTTAATAGGCCAGTTGGTTGTTGTGGCCGCAGCCTGAGCCCCTGTGACTACAGAGGGCAGTCAGACGTGGTAGGAGATGGTGAGTGTAGATTTACCCCAGTGGAAAACTAAACTTCTGCCAGCTTGAAAGGACTCACATACAATTCACAGGCCTCATACGAGCATAGGCACACACACATCCAGTACAAACACACACATACACACTGCAGTCCAAAGCCTGTGGGGAATTTCATTGAACACAAGGAGCAATAGAATTCCATCACACACGCCAGGGGTTTCATGCCAAATTACCCTTTAATGGGATATTAAATGGCAGGAATCTGGCCGAGTGTTTTTCTTGTTGCTCGGTACCAGATTTCGCCCCGTCTGATATCATATAGATCATTATACGCCAAATAACTCCCAACGTTTCTGCGGGTGGAGACTGAGAGATCTTGGTCAGACGTTTTACATGAGATTGACAGTAGTGCATTTTCTCAGGTTCTACCCTTTATGGACGTTGGTTACAGCTGAGTACAGTAGCCTGATGGTGAATGTAGAGTTCTTGCCAGTGCATCTATTGATGTGGGAAAGCCCCAATAACTGCAACCTAGTCAGCGGCCAACAGCAAGTTCCCAGTAATGAGATTTTTATTTGCCTGTTTAAAGTCATGCCTCTATTAGGTTGAGATACTGTTAATAGCTGTTATCACCATCCTAAAACAGAATAAAAATGGCAGCATGTAGGTGTTAGCATGCTAACATTTGCTCATACACAGATTTTGTGAAGACACTGCATTTCGATGATTTTAGAAACGTTTTGATGTCATTTCTGCGCTAAATGCAAAGTGAGAGGACCACAAAATCATTCATTTTGTAGTTGCCATAATTGTACCCATGAAGTATCGTGAAACTCCCCCAAAAGTTGTTGAGATATTGCAGCCTGGACCAAAGTACTTGTGCAACCGCACAAAATTAGAGAAAAAAGCCTTTTAGAAATCATCAGTTTTTTCTTTCTTTTCAGCTGAGGCCGATTGGTCAAAAGCACTGAACTAAGTTAAAAAGTCAACCGTAGAACACTTTCCCCTTTTGCTGCCAGTAAATTCCTGGAACCTGTCCCATACGTTTTCACCAAAAAAAAGAAAGTGGCACAGTAAAGTTGTTGGGCTTAAAGTTGCAACCAGTGATAACATGTATGGGAGAGGTTACTACAATAAACTCAACAATGATTCTCAGAGAATTCTGTTGGCCATAAAAAATACCCAGACCAAGGCTACGTCATGTTTGGTACTCAAACCTGTCCACATGTGGTCTGCTTATCAACAGGTGCCAAGGTAGAAATGATTCTTCACTCTTGCTCAAGATGACATGATAATTTTGAGTAAAATGCAACTGAAATCTATAAAATCAAAGGTTTATTTACTCAAAGAATTAATATTTAAGAAATATGCACTCAGTACAAACTGAATGTATACAAGTCATTTGAACAGGTTCCTTTAGATTTAACATCTTGTGTTGTACTTATGTAACAAAATTACACTGAAAATTTACATGCAATCAACTTTTTTGGACGAATAAAGTTTTTTTAAGGGTACTGCCATTTGAACTGGCTTGGCATGGGCCCCGACAATATGCTTGCGAGAAAGAGGTAAAAGTTATTCTTCCTGAGGGGAACGTGAATATCTAGCAGCTAAAAGTGAAATATTTGTGTCGAAACCTGCCAAAATCGTGTAATTATTTATTTTTGTCACTTCCACTTGATACTTCCACTATTTATTGCATTTCCCATCAATAAGTCTATGAATTAGAGGATTTCTGCCACCGAGAGAAACAAACTGGCCCATTATTTATCACATTCAACTGACTTAAATCTAAAACTGGTGGTTTTTAACACGTAGGATTCTTAGAAACCTGTTCAATGAAAACAGCAGTGCTTGACAGGAGCCGCTGAGGTCCTAAGGGCCTTTCAAATTAGGCTGGAGCAAGTGCCAGACAGTTATTGAATCCTGGAGAGTTTCGTAGCACTTAAGGAGCTGTCGACTTGTCCAGGTGAATGGAAGAAGTCGTCTCATTGTGGAAAAAAAACACCCAGAGTGTTTGGATTCCTTGTCGTGAGGTGGAAGGGTAGAGAGATGTGATGGTCACTGCCGATAAAA